CTACAACAGTGTGGCCAGTTGCATCACCTGCTTGGTGGAATATGGCAGTTGTTCTGGAATGCTAACATTTCTCTCTAAGCTATTCATGCTGCTGTTGTGCGGTGTAGTGCAGCAGCAGCAGCTGGTTGTGCTGCTAAACTACACACCAGAATCAGTTTCTGAATTTATTTCAGGTACAAACATGTGATATGTTTGCCTCAAACCTTTTTTCCCTCTGGACCCTCGCATGCCTGGTAGTTATTTTAAAAAAAACATGTTTGCTGAGAGGATTTTAATGAAGACTTATGAAAGAAGGTGTTTATCTGCAGGAGTCACTGTTCTGTTGCTGCTGCTGCCCCCCGTGCAGCTTCAGTGCAGGGCTGTTTTCACTCTGAATGCCCAGTGAGAGTCACAAAGCTCAGTGTGCAAACACTAGTCCAATGTGATGTGATTCGTTTGAAGTTTGGAAGTGTGCACCATCACTATCATTTTGATAAACTACAACTTCTTGTAGCGTTAGCTCAGTCAACATTAATCACATAAATATGCAGTCAAGGTTCATGAAGTTCAAGGCTCATGTGACATTTTTAGTAAATTTTTGTGTTTTCTTTAAAAAAAACCTGATTCATTTAAAACTCTTTTTATTTTCAGCAGCTTTCTTGTGCCTGTTTGCAGATCAAGCCGCATTAGCATGACTCATCACTGTTTGATCTTTGTCTCAGTTACTGATAGATTGAAATTTTAATGTCAAGAGTTCCATTGATATTGTACAGGCAACATGCTTTAAAACCCCTCTGGACACACACGCCAGGAAGGCACGAAGCAGACATGATCTGGGAACCTTTCCAGCTATAGTGACCAGTATCAATGATTAATCACAGTCAAGCCTTCTGGGGGGGGGGGGGGGGGGGGGGGGGGGGGGTAGGGGGGGGGGTGGTGGGGTGAGCTGTGATGCTTGACAGAATCAGAATCACATTTATTGCCTGTGTTTTGGTGCATAACAACAAAAATATATGGTGAATTGGCTCCAAAGTTCCCACTGTATAAAAGCCTGAACACTTTTCTTTCACATCTACACATTCATCTTAAGAAAATGATAAGTAAGAAAAATATATATATATAAGAAAAAATACTAATAAGAGTGTGAAGGACCCAGGTCACTACTACTATTTAATCCTTGGACGCCTGAAAAGAGGAGTACAGTCAGAACTATAAAACACCATGATGTGGTCCACAGTAAAGTAAATAAAATATGTGTTTTTTTGTAACTGACCAAAATATGCAAAAATAGTGCTGCGGTCCTTTACAATGGTCAACTGTTGAAATGATTATTTGTCCTTGAAAATGGAAAAATATCACTTCACAGAAACTGTTTATCAAGGCTCGTTTCATTTGAAACAGGTGAAACATAGCTGAGAACCAATAACTGCAGAGTCATGTACCTGTTATTTGGCTGCTGAAGATTTAATACACAAACAACTGAGATGCTAGAAAGAGTTCCACTGATGAGCAGAGAGGCTGAATCTGCTGTGATTCTGGAGGGCTTGGACTCAGGCCAGTACAATGCTGCTTTTCAAGAGCATTTTGGTGACTTCACACACTCAGACACACACTAAGAACAACGAGGCGAAGGGGGAAATCCCTTTGAACCAGAAAACTTGACGGCTCCAGTCTCTTTCACGGTGATAATGGAGCGGTGAGGCTCGTTAAAAACAGAGTGAAGGCGTCCAGCCAGAATCAATTAGTCTCCTGTGTGGTCTTCATCTGATTCAATTAAAGCCTTTTCATAAAGCACCGACTTAATGGGACTAATGCTGCACAGACACAGAACAGGATGGAGACAAGGAAGGGCGAGAGGCAGGGAGAGAATGAGCAGCAGGAGCTTTGTAATTCATCAGTCTGAGTGACTGACTTAAACAACTGGTAGGAGAACTACATGTGTTCATGTCATGGTTCTCTTCAGTCCAGTCGTGGCAACATGTAATGTCTTTATAAAGCAGCACAGAAGAGTGATGTTGGTGTCTGCTTTAACTGATCTGAATGAGGTGGTTTCATTGAAATCTCACATCTTCAACCATGCTGGTGACCGTACCGCCATGTTTGTTCATTTGGATCTGCTCTTCCACACTCGTGTTGGGATGACTGCTGGTTGAAAACCACTGTTGCATGTCAGGGCTGCACCCTAGTGCTGAAAATGTGAACTGATGGTGGATTATCCTTCAAATCAAGCAGTGCAGGGCCAGTGCACAATAAGCCCAATTATTTGATTAGTCATTAGTCCCTTTAAATCAGTCTGTTCAGGATCAGCTCTGCTTTCCCCCAGCTCCTCCTCAGTCCACATTGTCCCTTTACTAAATCCTGAAACTGTGACATAGATCTGTTGCTGCGTCTGTCACCAGAATGAAATGGGTTACATTTGTATGGAAAGTAGCTCCGATAAAAAAGAACATTATTTCCTGCTTGTAGCAGCACGACACTGACAGAGCTCTGCACAGGAAGATAAAAGCACATTTCCTTTCATTGTTGTAATTGCTGTGTAAGCGTTTCTTCCATATCCTTCAACATGAATGTGTATGGATTTATTGATCCAGTGCAGTTTTTAAGTGCACAAAGGCAGAATCTGGATGTTGTTTTTTTCAGACGCTGCAACCATTAAGTCAGTGGTCAATTTGATTTTTCAGTGAAATGTTTATTTAAAGCAAAAAAAAAATGACTCGAGCAGGCGAGAGAAGCATGTGCTGTTGTTGAGTATTTACATTCACCTTAACTCCTGGTGTCAGACTCTTTGTAATCCTCACAACTAAAGACCACCTCTGCACAACAGGATGAGTGTGTTGGTTCTGTAAATGAGGCTCAAACCTTTCTGCCTGTTTCACTCAATAAACATCAAGATTTCACTGTTAATATGTAATGTTCCTGTACGTACGGAGAATATGATTTGTTCTTTATCATTTTTAAGATGTTAAAAGATTTACATATTCATTGTCAGTGAATTTGTATTATTTGTATTCAAAACTGGCAGCAACATGTTTCCCTGTGACTCACAGTTTCCTAGGCCTGGATCACTGTTTCTGTCTGGGACCTGAAAACCACAACAATGAACCAGAACAAGTGAAATGGCTCTGGAGCCAGGACACACTGCCTGCTCTGCGTTGTGTTCGTGGAACGTCTTGGTTATGATTTCAGCGCTGATGTTAACAGGTTTAGAGATTGTGCAGTGAGGAAGTATTTAGCATCATCCTCATCATTACATGTAACATCGCTGGAAGTGTGTTCACTCAGGAATAATTCTCTCCTCACTGTGTAAACAGACACCTTGATAAAAGGCCTTTTCAAACCTGAGCCTTCAGCGGTCACAGATAGTGAAGATTAGACGCCACTTATCTCTCATATTTTTTTAACCTTGCCTCTATCTTCTCAGCAGCTCCACTGATGCTGAGTGTCTCTGCTGTTATTCCAGCCTCTCTGTGGCCTTTTCTCTGGATTTCTGCCTTTGTTGTGTTAATGTGAAATGATGGCCTTTTCTTAAACATCTCTCTCAGTGTGTTAGTAATGACTGAGCAGCTGCACACTGGGAGTGTTGATTGCATTTATGCATCGTCCTCCTTGTGCCAGGTGAAGATAAATCATGTTTGAGACAACCGAAGTAAAAGGGAAGAGAAGATCTAGCCATGACAATTACATATTGGAAAATTGACATTGCATTATCTTTTTTTCTGCTATATACTGTACATTTCAATATGAAAAAAATCTGTTCTTCTTACAAAACAACATCCCTTCATCAGAGCACACTGGGAACCAATCTGTGTATACCCTTACAGAAAAGCTGCATGAATTTCACATGTGAAAAATCACGTGATCACATGTAATCACATGTACATGTGATTTTAACATGTGAAATGTGTGGAACACATATGCTGGCACATAGGAACATGGTTTTGGAACATTTTCTTGGTGTAATGTGTGAAGCCCATATAAATTTGGGTATTTGCTTGGGTTTCTCACAGCTACTGTACGTGGGTTTCACATGCAATCCCACAGGCTTCAGTTAAAGTCCCAAAGGTTTCACAACTGAATTTATTTTCAGTTCATATGTAAACTATTGATACTCTTTCATGTAAGGGTATCCAACAACCTTCAATCATTTTTAGGATAGTTAGGTGCTAAGACCGTTTGACTTGTTTTAACTTTTGGGGAACCGGGATCAAATGATACTGTACAAGACGCATGTATCATTTCCCCCTGAAATGCTGATACACAGGCACTATATTAGAGGAATGACTAGATCACATTGATTTGCTTTATTTTCTTTAGCTTTTTTCAACCGCATACAGTGAATGCAAAGGTGTGTGAAGGAAGAACACATGTACAGTAAACTGCTCCTAAAGGACAGGAAAAATTCTCTCTCAGACATGAGTTAGTAAATCCAGTGACCTGCCACTAAGACCAGCGTGATGATGAAGAAGATGTTTGTTTGAGGCTATCCTCCCATAAAAAAACACCCCATAGGTTGTTTGTGAAAGTAACCATGACGATGAAGGCCATCTAACCTTAAAGAAGTACTTATTTTAACAGAAGCCAATATCTTTCCCTAAACCTAACCAACTTGTTTTTGTGCTGTAATGTAACTAAATCTTTACTAGAATAATGTTGCATCAGTTCATGTATTTTCCAGCAGTGATTTCTAACATCTGCTGCAGCTGCAGTGGCTCCATTTCAGGAAACACTGAGTCACATTAAAGACCTATATGGTCAGTTAGGTTGTCTTTTTTCTGTAGTGTTTTCTAGTCCCCACAGCTTTATTTGCATACATTTACAAATCAATAAGATGAGAATTCTGTACTCATAAAGCATATATAAAGCACCACAGGTGCCAAGAAATCCATAAACTGCCCTCACAATGCAATCGCATTAAACCTGGACCTCATCTCTGTTTCTCTGCCTCTCTTACAGCCTCTTTCTCCAGTCAGTCAAACCCTGAATGACTATGACTGGTGGATCCATCTCCCAGTCCACAGTGATCCAGCTGGGAAGATATAGATAAGAACATATTTGCGACCTACAGATCCTGAACTTCCACCGGGAAAATGAGGACTACCTTACTGGGCGTCATATGGCTGTGTCTCGGCCTGTACCTGGATGCATTGTCTTTGAGTGGACAGAGGATAGAGACAGTGGATGGAGAGGGAAGTCAGGCGGCAGTCAGAGGAGAAAAGCTGCTCAAACGAGTAAGACGGGGCTGGATGTGGAACCAGTTTTTCCTAACAGAGGAGTACACAGGCAGTGACTATCAGTACATTGGCAAGGTAAGAGTCATTCTACTGCCTCCTGGTTTTGGTTGACACAGTCCCATATGTCGTAAAATCAAATTCCCTTGATTAGTTGGAAAGACTCTCATCAGTCATGTTTGTTCTTCTTTCTTAAACTGCTGGTTTTATCAATATGAATTTATGCAAAGGTTAATCACTATTTACACATTTTGCTCATGACTTCTGTGCCTGCAAGCATAATGAAGTACCACTGCTGATGATCGTTAATTACCACTGCTGATCATCGTTATAAGGGTGTTTAAAAGTTGGATGCATCTACCATTTAGTATATTTTTCATATGATGTTTTACACACAACAATGAACTTGTGGGTTTTGGTCAAATACATAAAAGTAAGAAAGAAAGAAAGTCTATTTAAAGTGAGATAATGTCACTTAGAAATAACAGTTTGTCTCTTAAACATGAAAAGCTGAATTCATTAGCGATAAAAAAATCCCCTGGCTTGGTTGAAACCCCCCTCAGGGATTTTTACTGCTGCCTGGTCTGGTGTGACAAGTTCCTCATCGTGGATATCGTTAGGTAAAGTTAGTGTTGTCTTATCACATCATGTTTTTGTTTTATCATTAGCATTAGCATTATAGCACTAGTGGCCACAGTGGCTTCTGTTCATTTGAAGCTGTCAAACAGTCAGGTAGTGTTGCCTGCAGTGACAAGTCCTGAGGTACTGAAGTCATTTAACACGTTATAATCACAACATTCTACATACAGCGTTAGCTCACCATTATAGCTGTGTTGTACACTATACTAATATTAGAAAGGTATCACAATGCTCTGACATTAAAAATGGTACTGTGACTTCTGGTGGCTGCTCGCACGAGATGCACGTGTAACCTTGAGCTCTGTCTCAAAAGTCCGAATATTTTCAAAATATCCTTCAATTCAGAAACAAATCCAACTTAATTTGTACTTAAGGACTGCTGCAACATGTCGGGACCTAGAGTCACAAGAGGTAAACCGTCCCAAGAAGACCACGCAACTAAAAAGAAAGACACAGGGGAACCGCAGATGGATCCGTCTAACGCAGCCATCTTGTTAGCATTGGAAGAACAGGAGGATCGGTTGGCGAAGAAAGTTAAACTAGCCGTGAGGGAGGCTGTTGAGGATATGCTTGCCGGGGAAATCCAAACCCTTAAGAACAGTGGCGGCTGTCCAATAGGGGGCGCTAGGGCGCCGCCCTCCCTGATGGAACGGGATTTTTAGATTTTTTTTTTTTTTTTTTTTCCAAAATAATCGTTTAAAATAAATAATTACTGCTCATTCTACAAATAAATGTGTTTTGAATTATCAAGACCAAGCCATATACAGTATATAATATAAACCATTATTTAGGGGGTAATTTGTGTCCACGCTCATTTCCCCTCTCTCCTGGGGCTCTAGAAAAGTCGCCCCAGCACTGCAACAGCTCAGCCAATGGTAGACTGTTGCTGAGACAAAAAAACACATAGCAACGGGTAATTTAGCCAATTAGCGTCATCAAATTTGATAAGCTTAGGGCGCTGAAAATATCGTCCCAAGCCTATAAGTATCCTAGCAACCAGAAACAAGTGTGGGAAATCGAGATGGCGGCGTCAAGTACACAAGAACAAGAACACACAGGGCTTCAGCTACCCGTAAGGAGAACTTTAGGGGAAAAACTTTGTGTTAAAGAACTTGGACCTGAGAAGCCCGGTCTGAATTTAACACAGCAAACACAGGAGAAAGGTAAAACGTACCAGAGGAGCTTCTCTCTGGTCTGGTATGACAGGAAGGCTTGGCTAACTGGATGTAGTTTTACAAATGCAGTATTCTGCTTCCCGTGTTTACTTTTTAAAATGCCGGGGACAGATATTACATGGACTGTAACAGGAGTTAGAGACCTAAAACATTTATCAGAGCGGATTAAAAAACATGAATGCTGGAAGGTGCACATGAACAACGCAGTCAAGCTAGCCATGCTGGGCAGGACTAGCATAGCTGCGCAGCTGGATGAAGAACACAGGATTGCAGTGAGAAAACACAATGAAGAGGTGGATAAGAATAGACATATTTTATCGAAGATCATTGATTGTGTGAAATTCTGTGGAGCTTTTGAGCTGGCATTGCGAGGCCACGATGAGACAGCATCATCCGACAACCCTTGTCTTGTTGTTACTGACTGTGTAATCCTTGGCAATTGTATTCTATGTACAACTATCCCATGTAACAAAAGGCAATAAAAAGTTGATCACAAAAAAAAAAAATGGTACTGTACCCCATTTTATTAGTACCAGTAGATTAAAAATGACAGTCTTTAATAAGAGCTATATTTGATATCAGTTGAGACACAGCAGATGCACAAAATGAAATATGGCATTATTTGACTTAGACAGCTGAAAGTCAGGGCAAGCCCCCACAGCCCGTCTGTGAAAGATGTTTTAACCCTACGAAGACCAAAAGGAGCACACGTCCAACTTGGCAAAGCATCTTGTTGACAGATTAGCGAATGTGACGGATCACTTTCCCATTCAAGTAATTATGACTCAGACTTTTGTATCCCAGTGTAAATTTCTGTCAGTAATTATTTCTGTTTCTAGAAAATGTGCTCAGTTGATCTCAGTCCTCTGGCTTATTGAGTCGTATTAAATGCTGGGTAATAAGTGAGTATGTGGTTACAAACTGCACGCCATGCAGAAAGCTTTAATAACGCTGTGATCTTGATCAAATAATTCATAATCATCTAAATGATTAATGTTATAAATAGATGAATGTATTAATGTGTCAAAAACACACCTACATTTATGAAAAACAAACAAGAAAACTCTTAACAGTCTGCCACATCCTGGTGACAAAGCTCAGACCAGGACCATCAGCCTGCTCACTACAGTAGTGAAGTGAAGCAGATGAACACAGATAATCAGTGCACCTCTGTGCTCTGAGCTCATTCTCTACTTTTCTTTTTAGTCAAATTAGATTTAGAAATGAGAATTAATGAGAACAGGCTCACTCAAACGTACTTTACAACTGAGAACTGAATAATAAAGTATTGACAAATTAGTACAATTTAAACAAAGAATTTGAAGTCCCATGTTCTATCATCTAATATTTTTGGCAAGGTATGGTTTCAGTATGGGTATGGAGATATTTATGCAGAAATCTTTTTGATATGGTGACAACACCGTCATAGCAGAGAGTAGACTGAATACAGAACAGTGTATCACACTGTAGAACAAGTATTTTAGGAGACTATGGATATATAGTTACTGTGGAGCAGTGAACACACTGCAGCCGCTGCAGCAGCTCTGTTTCCTCGCACTGTCACTATGAGAGGCTTTCACAGCACAAATAATGGATCTCTAAAACTGTTACAGTGTGACATTTTTGCTCATCCAAACTATGAAGACTTGCGTTGATGTTTGCCCAGCCACTGTACTTTGCAAGGCAGGGAGGGTGACACGGGTAAAACGAGAGGAAGATGTGCAGAGTGGGGTGAATTTATCAGGAAGATGTAGAGTGTGTTCAGCTCATGTGCAGAAGGATGTTTGTATATATGCAATAACTCCTCTACACGACGTGTTAATGTCACTACCATCCTGTTTATACATGGATCTCTACCTCACATTTCTAGTACGCAGAAAGTCTTCTGACACCTTCACTTTGTATGGCTCCACACCACAGTGACAACCAGAACCCATCCGTCAGTCCATCTCTTCGTCTGTCCATCTCTTTGTCTGTCCGTCCCATTCTCATGCACGTGATATTGCCTTGAGGGAAGTTCTTTGAATTTGGCCTAAACATTTACTTGGACTCAAGGATAAACTGATTAGATTTTTGTTGGCAAAGGTCAAAGGTCAAGGTCACTGTGACCTCACAAAACACATTTTTTGACCATAAATCACAAATCTATTCACTAATTAACAATTGACCTCAAATGTCTGTAGTCATGACTTTTTATATCCAAAAGGTCAAAGTTCAACTTCACTGCGACATCATAATGTTCTGTAAAAACACCTTTATTCAACACTGTTACTCAGGAAGAAGAGACTGTGACCATATTTCCTGACACTTGGCTGGTTGGTGGAAAAAACAACGAGTAGGTGATTCTAGTTTCACGTTGTTATGTTGCAGTCTCATGCTAAAATAGTTTACATTAATTTTTTTCCCTATTCTTAGGTTGTTTGTTTTTAATTTTGCAAAAATGTCTAAAATTCTGTTTTTGCTTAGTCATCATGAGGTATTGAGTGTAGATTGATGATTGATTACTTTAATTGATTTCAGCATAAGAATGCAACGTAACATAATGTGAAAATTGAAGAGGTTGAATAAATAATAAAAGTGGCCCAAAGTATAAAAGTTTCTTCATTATATGCTTATGTCACTTTGTGATGTTTTTAGTGTTCACACAAATAACCCCTTTCCACTGTAGGAATTCACTACAGTGGACTATCTTTCTTTTTTTAAAGTTATTTTTCAGGCTTTTGACTAAACCCAAATGTCACGTGCTCCACCAGGTGAACCATGGGGCCCGAGACAAACTATCTTTGTTATTTAGTCTCTCACACACAGCACAGCCTCCGTCTGGATCCACAATAGTTTAGTCTTTATTTACTTCAACTCCAGAACGTCACAGATTTTTATTAGAGGCAGGTCTTTATGTCTAACTCCCTCTATTTGATGTATAGAGTTGGTCGTAGCTGTAAGTGCGAAGCCTCAGTAGCGATGACTTCTCTCTCTCTCTCCCTCTCTCCTGCTCTCTCTGCTCAGTGTGTCTTATGTTTAGTTATTCCTCTGCCTCCTTTAGTAATAATGATACATGTAATGAAAGTAGTTTATTTGCTGTAATGGAGGCAAGACTCAGTGTATTGGAAGTGCTCCTCCTCTTCCCTGCAGTTCCAGAGCAGCCAGCAAACCAGAGCGGCTCGGTAGACTACGGCTCGGCACTCCACTGACCAGTCAGTCAGTCAGTCAGTTAGTCAGTCCGTCCGTCAGTCCGTCCGTCAGTCAGTCAGTCAGTCAGTCAGT